CTTGCGGATCAGCTCCCGCACCCAGACGACGGACGTTGAGGTCGTGCCTGCAGAACTTTGCAGAACGCTAAATGTTTGTATCTCGTTATGGCCAATCAACTCCTCCAACGGCTGACAATGCGCAAGAGGCAGAAACAAAGCTAAGCAACGCCCAAACTAGAAAACAGCTTTAGCGACGGCTGTTGCAGCGTACGAACCCCAAAATTGTAATTTTGAAAACTGCCAAAAGGATGCTCAATCTGACGTTCACGCTGCTGTGAGCCATCAAAGCGTTCTTTTCAGCATTCACCTGGCGCAACTGCTCCTCCAAGAGCGACTGCTCGACTTGAAGCAGGCAGCTCTTTTGGAACCAATAGCAGTGCAGGCCGTCTACTGCACCAAAATGCTGCATTGAACCATCGTAGAAATACATGGTGCGTCCCTGAGGAAAGACTTGTTGGCGGGCTTCATGCAACCACAGCAAGCTTTGGCTTCGCAACTTACCATGCTGCTCCCAGCTTTGGGATGTGACTTCCACAAAGGCTCCGCTCTGGCAGTTTCTGGCAATGGTTGACCAGCTTTCTTCTGCAGGGATTTGCTGACCAGTCAGTGTCATGACAGGAACAGGAATATCCAAACCAGAAGAATCTTCGTGTACCTGCCGAGTGGGGCCAATAACCAAGTCAATCTCAAGGAGCACACTTCCTAGAGGCACTGGCGGCCGGCAGGTTTGGACAGCTCGTGCTGCATCTTGGTTCATGCTTCGGGCGCGACGTGCCGACTCAAGGAGTGTCTCCCTGAACTGACCACCAACCCCAAGTGCATTGTCGATGTCTGCGGCATGCTGTCCGAGTAGTTGTTCAGGTGCTTCTGGATATTCCCTCAGTGCTGCTGCGATGATACGTCTTTGTTCACAAAAGACCTCATATTCTGGAGCAAATTTCCAGCATCCATTTGTACGCAGCATCGTTTTGTTTGCCTGCACCAGCAAGCCCAACTGCCGGAAAATGAAGCCGAACTTGCTCTCTACTTCCTTTCCCAGCTGTGTGCTCAACTCATCTCCCGGAACACGTGGACCTATATGCACATGTGCCCTTTGAACTGGATACGCTCGTTGGCCAGGATGGTGGAAAGTTGTCTGAAGTTGTGACCCTGGGATAGGAGGCCGGCCATGTAGAGCCGGAGCATTCGGTCTGCTACTCCAGCTGTGCGACGCTGCCATGTTTGGCTGACGCCTCTAGCGTTGGAAACTGCGTGCTATCATGCGCCATGTGCCTTTTCAGTGTTGCTTCCTTTCATTCTTAGACATGCTCAGTAGTTTCAAATTTGCAGTCACCCTGGCTGCA